CTACTGAAGTCAATAAGGAAACAATATACCAGTACTAGCATAGCTAATGTTGCACCATCTCTCTGCTATCTGTACCTTTTGATTTCTGGCTTCTGCAGAACAGCTAGTATTGTAGACAACGTGCAGCAGCAAATAGCTGAGGAGGAGAACTGATGGTCGATAAATCCAAAAAAGATAATCTTTTGATTTAGTGTTTAGTTAAAGTTTATTTATTATGTTTCGTGTTTTGGATTACTAAGGATTTTTTTAGGAACTGGGGGAATCAAATGGCATGTTGTGTTCCTCCCCAACATTCACTTATGAAAAATGTAAAATGACAGATCAGGGAAATCTGGGTAAGAAGGATAAATCAACCTAGGAAACAGGCAAAAGCGTGCTTAAATCTGTTTAGCTTGAAACTGCTGTTGCAGCCCCTTTCTATTCAACTCTCTCAGATTTACCTTGCTTTATATCAGGGGTGTCCAACCTTGGCAACTTTAAGACTTGTGGACTTCAACTAGCAAAGCTGGCTGAGGAACTCTGGGAGTTGAAGTCCACAAGTCTTAAAGTTGCCAAGGTTGGACACCCCTGCTTTATATGAATTCTAAACAAGCCATGCAGTGTAGGAGAGATCAATTCTATGTGTGTGAAGTCAGTTGCATATGAATATCAAGTCTGCAGACACAGAACAGCTGTAGGTCACTACTAGATATGAAAAACATGTTGAGATGGTTAGGTTTACAGAATACAAAATAATAGGGACCTTGGAGATCTTCTAGTCCAACCCCCTGCTCAAACACAGGACCCTATACTATTCCAAACAAATGGCTGTCCGATTTCTTCTTAAAAACCTTTTGTGATAGAGCCAAGCCATTCTACTGATTAATTGTTCTGTTAGAAAATGTCTCCTTAAGACGAGGTTGGATCTTGCTTTGAGAAATTTCTACCTGTTACTGCTTTTCCTGCTCTCAGGTGCTTCAGAGAATGTTGGCTTTTCCACGTGACAGCCCTTCAAATATCGGAAGACTGCAATCATATCTCCCCCTAATCCTTTTCTTCATCATACCCAGTTCTTGCAACTGTTCATTAGTCTCTAGCCCCCTAATCATCTTAGTTGCTCTTCTCTGCAATTTTTAAAAAGTCTCAACATCTTTTTCATATTGTGGTGATCAAAACTGGAAAATCAGTATTACAAATGTGTTCTGTGTACAGGTCTTTTTGAACCTCTCTTTCTTTTAGCATTTTAATCTAGACTGGGCTGCAACCTATTCTTGTTTCTTTTTAGAAAGTGCAGTTGGCAAACCATTCAGAAGATACCAGTGCTTTAGCAAAGGAAGAAATCCACCATTCCAGTAAACTGGAGAAGTGAGTATAAAAAGCTGAGGTTCACACTATTGGAAGTCCAGGTCAAAGCATTTTCACAAAACTATAAAGGAAGTGAATTACTGTATTAACTCAGAAATTCCTAGTATTGTGTTTGGTGTTGAGCTAATTAATGTTCAACACACCAAGAGTCCAAAGAGAGGAAATTAGAACTCAGATTAATCTATGAAAGCCTAAATTCGTTTATTTAAAGAGCCATAGTAGCGGAGTAGTTAGAATGCAGTATTGCAGGCTAACTCTGCCACTGTCAGTAGTTCGATCCTGACCGGCTCAAGATTGACTCATCCTTCCATCCTTCCAAATGTTGGAGGCAATATGCTGACTCTGTAAGCTGCTAAGAGAGGGCTGGAAAGCACTATGAAGTGGTATATAAGTCTAAGTGCTTTTGCTATTAACAACTAGGATTTAAACAGGATGCATGCTAGGCAGGATTTATGCTTCATATGTGGAAAGAATTTCACTCACAGTATTTCCCCAAAATTCAATGAATTTTGAAGACACAATAAATATATTTTTAATTATTACTGTATATAAAAATCTGAAACTGTCGCCAAAACCAAAATATTAGGAATGTACAAGAAAGGCCAAATGTTTTTTAATCATATCAGAACATATCCTTTGTGGATTCTAATTGCTTCCATTTTAAAAAAGTCGTATAATTTTATTTAGTGTTCAGATTTGTGAAAAAGGGAAATTGAAAATGGAAAATTATGGCATTTGCAGACAGGCTTATGTTTTTGTATTTGTACATCTCGAGTAACTTTTCAGTAAGAAAGTCAATACTTTTTTGCCTGCTGAGGTTTCTGACCAGGTGAGTTTTGAGTACTCTGTTTTGTAGATTCATAGAGTTACTAATGGTTTGCACTTTACACTTGCAAGCAGGCAGTTGGACTCTGAAACAAATCTATCTAGGAATACTGCAAGACTGACAGTTTACTTAGCAGTCCATAGAAGCTGCAGTCCCTTTGAAAAAAAAGTTGTAAATGTTTATAGAGAAGCATCAAATATTACAAGAAAAATATAAGCAGGAGAATGAATTAGGCTGTTTGCTTATGGAGGAGCCAGAGATTACAGTGTTGAGCTTAAACAAAGCAAAAACACTGATCTTAAATTTGGATCTTAAATTCAGCCAATGATTATGAAATTGTAAAAAAAGATTATGAAATTGTAAAAAAATAAAAGAGTAATTTGACCATAAATTCATGAAACTGATTTCTGAAGAAATACTATATAGTAATGCAATGATTCCATCCAGCACAGGAACTTTATTTTTCTCTATGAACAGGTCCCAAAAATTCATGATACTGGTGCATCAGTTTGACATTTTGGAAAGGCTGGGCATCATCACAAACCTAGGAAGTTTTGGGGGCAAGTTCTAGTCCATGAAGGAGAAGTAAAAAACCACTGTTACTATCGCAATGAATGTTGGATAGTCATATACAGGTGGTCCTCAACTTAGAATAGTTCATATAGCGCAGTGGTGGGGTTCAAATATTGTTGCCACCGGTTCGGTGGACGTGGCTTGGTGGGCATGGCTTTGCGCACGTGCACACACTTTGCATGCACATGTACGCCAAACGTGTACTTTGAGCATGTGCAGAGGTATTTGCTCAGGCAGAGAGGCATTCTAACTCGCCTCCTGCAAGCCTGCACGATCCCGGTTGCTTCAGCAGCTGCCGCGTGGCACTCTTCTGTGCCGCGCAAAGCAGCTGCGCTTCAAATTCAGCGGATAAAGGTGAGTATGGGAGCCTTGGCGGGCGGGTGGGCCCAACAGCAGAGCCATTAGAGCAGCGGAGAGAACTGATTCGGTCTTTGCTGCTCATCGGTCCTACCGGCTCTTCAGAACCAGGCAAGACTGGTCGAATACCACCACTGATATAGTGACTGTTCAAAGTTACAGCAGCACTGAAAAATGTGATTTATGACTGTTTTTCAAGGTTACCACCTTTCCAGCCACCCCATGATTGTGTGATCAAAATCCAGATGCTTGGCAACTGGTTCATGTTTATGACTGTTGCTGTGTCCCAAGGTCATGTGGGGAAGTCAGATTCACTTAACAACCACATTACTAATATACCAACTGCAGTGATTTACTTAACAACTATGCCAAGAAAGCTTTAAAATGGGGTAAAATTCACTTAACAAGTGTCTCCTTTAACAACAGAAATTTTGGGCTCAATTGTGGTTGAGGTAGTCCTTAACTTACGACTGGACGCTAAATGAATGTTCGAACTTATGATGGACCCACCTCCAAAAGCTACCTATGACTTAATTTTGAAGTTATGACAGCCACACTGCCTGCAGTCAGGGGGGTAATTTGGGGCCACTTGGCAACCTGCTCAACTTCATGGCCATCTGCAGCTCCCAGGGTAGTGTGGTTTTTGATGCTCTTTGCTGGTTTCCAGCATTTTCTTCCAGTTTGTGGCAAAACTGGATAACATGGATTTGCTTAATGATGGTAGAGTTTACTTAATGACCACCAAAAAATGTCATAAAATTGGGTTCAATCGCATGGTGGCCCAGTTAACGACAACTTATAGCTATAAATCTAGACTCAATTAGAGATCTAAGTCAATGACAACCTATAGCAATTGTTTTGATGGTTTTAAACACATACTGATTTGATCAGGTTCTGAGTAACTATTAAACTAGGAGAGCAGGTATTGTTTATGTTCTGGACTAGCAGGCTCGTAATCCTGCAAACCTGATTGGTCCGTCAACAGCGAGTCGTGATTGGTCGCTCCGGGCTGATCCGATTGGCTGGTTAACGGGCTGCCGCGATTGGACACTCCAAGCGCGGCAAGCTTAAATCGTTGTCATTGGACGCTTCGGTAGCAGCCAGCTCTATAAAATGAGCTGCTGCTGCCAGGCTCATTGCTCTGATCTGAAGTCACTATTAAAGAGTTGAAGTTACTATCCGAGGTCTCGTCTCCGTTATTACGCTCGTCCTCCCAGACATAACACTGGCGACGAGGATGGGATGCGGAGATGATAGAGCTGACTGAGCACTTGCAGAATATTGACAGAGCACGTGGCTGAAGGCGCACAGACATCGGCAGAATGGCCAGCAGCGCTATACCACCCGCCCCGTTTGATCCAGCCAGCGAAGACTGGGACTCGTATATAGACAGGTTTCAAATGTTCCTGGAATCTAACAATCTGAAGGATGCCACGTCTAGCAAAAAACGTGCGGTTTTCCTAACGCATTGCGGACCCGCCATTTTCAGAATGGCAAAGGCACTTGCCAAACCAGCTGAAGTCAAAACGATGGACTGGGATACCCTTGCTCCCATCCTTCGTGCCCATTACGCTCCAGCAGTTCCTACCCTTATTAGAAGACACAAATTTTACCAGAGGGACCAACGCAAAGGTGAGAACATCGGGGACTTTGTAGCTGACCTAAGAAATTTGGGTGGACTGTGTGGCTTCATAAATCTAGAAGAAGCCATGAGAGACCGGATTGTCCTTGGCCTAAGAGACCCCACTGTCCAAAGCAAGATTATGGCAAAGGGCGACATCACCCTCGCAGATGCCATAACAGATGCCACTGCAACGGAAGCCACCTGCAAATCAGCAGCCCAAATGCGCCGAGCGAATGGGGCCAGCCGCCAACCCACCAGCGACACGGCAATATCATCAGAAATATACACATCATCCGCCCACCATGAAGACATCAATTCCTCATCGGATAGAGAGGAGGAAGAAGTCAACAGACTCAGGTCAGAGCGCGAGCAGCGAGACCAGCGGGGTCGTAAATCCAATTTCCAATGCGCCGGATGCGGGGGGAACCACCCACGATCAGAATGCAGGTTCCTAGACGCCATCTGTCGTTCCTGTGAGAAAAGGGGTCACATTGCTAAAGTGTGCAGCAGGCACCCCACCAACAAATTGGGACCGCCCAAACAACCAGTGGAACCAGTACAACAGAAACCGGATGTTTACTGGCGTAACCAGACGGGAAGAGGCACATCAGACCATCACCATCGGCCACGCTTCATCATTAGACGCAAAAAAAATCCGGGTAAAGGTCACCATTGAAAATCGTCCATGCATCATGGAAGTGGACTCCGGGTCTTCCCTATCCATGGTCTCCTGGAAAACCCTCAAGCAGCTGATCCCTGACATCCGCCACCAGGATCTCAGCACCCAGAGACTTATATTAAAGGACTACCAGGGCAATCGAATTCTGGTTGTTGGTTCCAGTCACGTCCAGGTCTCCTTTAAGGACCACACCGCAATACCACCATCTCTGTCACCATCATTGACAGAGACCGGCCCAGCTTATTGGGTCTTCAGTGGTTCGCGCCATTAGGAATCGAAATGGCAGGCATCAACCAGACTGTAGACGAAGACTGGGAGGCGGCCCTCATCCGTGACTTTCAAGAAGTCTTCACTGAACAATTAGGCAAGTACAAAGGTTCCCCCATCTTGTTTAATTTCTGCCCTGATATCGCACCCATTTGCCTAAAGCCACGCCGAGTTCCCTTTGCTCTCAAACCAAAAATTGACGAGCAGTTGGACAAATTAATAGCACAAGGCGTGTTAGAACCCATCGACCACGCCCGATGGGAGACCCCAATTGTAACTCCCATAAAACCTGATGGATCTTTGAGAATCTGTGGGGATTACAAGGCTACCCTCAACCACGCGTTACAGCAGAGCGCCTATCCAGTACCCGTGGTCCAACATCTCCTTCATTCACTTGGGGGCAGAAAAGTATTCGCAAAGCTTGACCTAGCCCAAGCTTATCAACAGCTGCCAGTAGACGTGGAAACCGCAGAAGCCCAAACCATAGTTACGCACAGGGGTGCGTTCAAATGTAACAGACTCCAGTTTGGAGTAAGCGTAGCACCTGGCATTTTCCAAAGTTTGATGGAAAGGTTGTTGCAGGGCATAAAAGGGGTCATGCCCTACTTCGATGACGTATTGATAGCCGCCCCTACAAGAAGTCAGTTAGAAAAATGCCTGAGAACTGTTCTACAAAGATTCAAAGACGCAGGCCTCAAGGTTAAGAAGGAAAAGTGCCAGTTATGCACTGAGAGGGTTGAATTTCTTGGTTACCTTCTTGACAAACAAGGAATTCACCCTACTGAAAAGAAATTGGCTGCTATTAAAAATGCCCCGAGACCAAAGAACAAAACAGACCTCCAAGCCTTCCTGGGACTCATTAACTTTTATAACATCTTCCTACCCCAGAAGGCGACCGTTGCTGAACTCCTGCATAGGCTCCTTGACAAGAAGGCTTCCTGGTTTTGGGGACGTCGGGAGGAGCAGGCTTTCCAACAAGTAAAAGACCTTTTAACTTCAGATGCAATACTCATCCAATATAATGAGACACTTCCATTGACTGTGACTTGTGACGCCTCACCTTTTGGGGTAGGAGCCATCCTGAGCCACGTCCTACCAAACGGTACAGAGGCGCCTATTGCATTCTTTTCTAGAACTTTGTCTAAAACAGAGAGAATACTATAGTCACCTAGATAAAGAAGCCCTCGCTATTGTATCTGTGATCAAAAGGTTCCACAAATACGTGTATGGAAGATCCTTTTCCATCATCACAGATCATAAGCCATTACTTGGCATCTTGGCAGGGGACAAACCAACTCCACACATCCTATCTCTAAGGATGACATGATGGTTGGAGTTCTTGGCCGCCTACGACTACCAGTTGAGACACCGACCAGGGAAAACCATCCCCCATGCAGACGCTTTGAGCCGTTCTCCACTGCCAGAGTTCCTAGATGACCCAGCTCCCACACTATCAACACTTCCCTCACCTCCACTTCCCTCACCCACACTATCAACGCTTCCCTCACCTCCACTAACCGCACAAGACATCGCATTGGAAACAAAAAGAGACTCATGTTTGGCACGGGTTCTCAGCTGGGTGGAGAGGGGATGGCCAGAAATCGAACCCAACGACACCTTTAAACCTTTCAAAAACAGACAAACAGAACTGTTCTCCCAAAAAGGGTGTGTGTTGTGGGGAGACCGAGTGGTCATACCAGAGAAACTACAAAAGAAAGTTCTAAATTTACTACATGATGGACACCGGGCATCGTATGAATGAAAGCGCTGGCAAGGAGCTACGCCTGGTGGCCAGGTATGGACAAACAAATTGAAGCCTGGGTTGCCACCTGTAGCAAATGCCAAGAAACACGCTCGGCCCCACCAAAAGCATCACCAGCTGAATGGGAAACGCCCAGGGGTCCATGGTCCCGCATCCACATCGATTTCGCGGGACCTACAAAAGGACATACTTTTCTAATAACAGTAGACGCCTACTCGAACTGGCTTGAGGTTAACAAGATGAAGACTACCACTACAGAGGCAGTCATCAAGAAATTGAACAGACTGTTTGCAATGCACGGGCTACCAGATGTCTTGGTTTCCGACAATGGCCCGCAATTTACCGCCTTGGCCTTTGAACAATACCTAGCAGACCGGGGAATATGCCACGCCTTGACGTCACCTGCTCACCCAGTGGCCAATGGCAGGGTTGAACGAATGGTTCAGTTCACCAAAAAAACCTTACAAAAAATGGAACAAGGAAACATCCACGACAAAGTCACCAGGATGCTCCTTCTTCAGCATATTACACCAAACAGCACCACAAACAAAAGCCCAGCCGAGCTCCTGATGGGCAGAAAACTCAGATCGCACCTAGACCACCTACATCCTGCATACACCCCGGAAAAGCCCCTGGGTTCCAGCAGTAAACATTGTACGTTTAAGGTAGGAGACCCCGTATTTGCAAAGAACTTTTCAGGTGACCCATTGTGGATCCCTGCCAAAATAACGCAAATTACAGGCCCCCGTTCTTACCGTTTAGAAACCACAGATGGGAGACTGTGGAAACGCCACATCGACCAGCTGCGCTCAAGGTTGACCACAACCCCCATCACAAACCCCGATCTCGAAGCCAGAGGGGGAAGGGAAACCGAGGGTTTTGAAATTGAACCAACATCTGGCTCAGAAAACATAACCCCACAACCAGCACAGCAAAGCCCACTATATTCACCGACTGAGGAAGAACCTTGGCAGATGGTCGTCTCTCCAGGTAGCAGCAGCTGAACAGGGTCAGCGAATCCGGAGAACCCAGACGACAGGAGTGAAGGAAGCGTTGCGGGTATCCACGGATCACCTTCAAGAATACCCAGCGTAGAAGCCAGGTCACCAGGAAGCGTTGCAGGTATCCCCGGATCACCTCCAAGAATACCCAGCATAGAAGCCAGGTCACCACTACAGACAAGCCCGGTAAGCAGTCCATCAGAACCAGAAACCGAGCAAAGACATTTTGAACAACGCAAATCAGGTAGACAGGTGCGAAGACCCGCCTACCTGTGAGAATACATCACCCCACCCCTGAGACGGAACCTAGAGGGGAGGGGTGTTCCGGACTAGCAGGCTCGTAATCCTGCAAACCTGATTGGTCCGTCAACAGCGAGTCGTGATTGGTCGCTCCGGGCTGATCCGATTGGCTGGTTAACGGGCTGCCGCGATTGGACACTCCAAGCGCGGCAAGCTTAAATCGTTGTCATTGGACGCTTCGGCAGCAGCCAGCTCTATAAAAGGAGCTGCTGCTGCCAGGCTCATTGCTCTGATATGAAGTTACTATTAAAGAGTTGAAGTTACTATCCGAGGTCTCGTCTCCGTTATTACGCCCGTCCTCCCAGACATAACGGTTTACAAATTATAAAGGTTTCAGTAACTTTTTTGCCTTATATCTGGGACCATGAAAAAGAGTCTTGGTGCAAAACGTTTCTTCTACCATTTGAGAATACTTTTAAAAAATGGAATGTTATGGCTGTCTGTGTTATTTCATTTGCCTCTGTCAGTCTTCACAGGCCCAAATCCAGCTCTAAAGCATCCTGTGAATGAAGTTGAAATACGAAATCCTATTTTGCAAAAAAACCGCAAACTTCCAGGAAACCGGAAGACTTTGGCGTAGTTTTAAACATAGGTACTCCTCGACTTATGACCACAATTGAGCCCAAAATTTCTGTTGCTAAGTGAGATGTTTGTTAAGTGAGTTAAGTGAATTACTGCAGTTTTAGTAATGCTGTTGTTAAGTGAGTCTGGATTCCCCATTGACTTTGCTTGTCAGAAGGTTCCAAGAGGGGATCACATGACCTCAGGACATTGCAGTCATCATAACTATGATTCTGTTTTCAAGCACCTGAATTTTTATTGTAAATGGTCGTAAGTGTGAAAAATAGTCGTAAATCACTTTTTTCAGTGCTGTTGTAACTTTGAACGATCACTAAACTGTTGTAAGTCGAGGACTACCTGTAGTCTACAGGACTACAGTCCTGTAGGACTACAAAGTATCATTTAGTTCTCTCTCTTAAAGACATTTTCTATAGTCCCACCTGCCATTTCTTTCTCATCTAAGCCTTGATGTGTTCTACTTGAGGCTCTTTTTATAAATGATAATTGTCCTTTGGTTACTTTCTTCCCTGTTACAGAGAATTACTGATTGGCAGCCCAGCAGCTATTGAAGATGGGTTAAAGAAAACGCCACAGTTGCTTTGGTCTCAGAATACGAAAAAGACAGAGCCTCTCAACAAAGCCAACACTGTCCAGATTTGTACTAATCCCAATACAGAAATATTTGATTTTAATGGCCCATACATATATTCCTCTGCAGAGTCTGTTGCACATACAGTTCAGCAGGATTTGAAAGTTACTCCTTCAGAATTGAAAGAAGCGCCAGTATCTTTGCAGTCTATAGGATTACAGCCTTCTTTGTTTCTTCAGCAACAGCCAGAAGCGGGAAAGGAAAATACTTTATTGTCTAATGTACATCAGCAGGTGGAAGAGAAGCTGTCATTTCCTACTGGACAAGAACCAACTCAAATCCAGGAGACAAGTGGACAGTTGAAGAACGAGAAAACTACAGGGTGTCTTTCCAGCTCAAATAGCCGCTGTCAAAATTTGCCGCTAGATTACATTACTACAGTAGATCTATCAATAAGCAAAGAAAAGGGATGTTTATTGCCATTACCTGAGCTGGCTTCAGAGGAAGGGATGCTTTCTTGTGCTAATACAGCAACCGTTTCTGCACACATGCCCAAAACTAATGAAAATCTCTCAAATGCAGACTTATGTCAAAATAGATCAAAATCAATCCTCCCAGTTATGGATCAAGGTATTGGTGATCCCTCAGCAATATCCCAGGAAGAATCTAGTGACTATCTTATGAACTTTTCTGCTACCTCAGGTTCTGTGTCAAAGGATGGATTACTTTTTGCCATGGAGGAATCTAAGCAGGACATTCTAATATTCAATGTTGGAGGCAGAAGCCCTATTTTCTTACATCAAGAAGGTGAATACTGTTTCTTTCCTGGCTCTAAGACCAAGGGAGACTGCAAGGGTCAAGGAGCACCTATGGGCCACCAGCCTTCAGAAATCTTTCAAAAAGTCACCAAATCCCCTTTGGAGACAAAATTTGCTGACAGTAAACTACAGGTCACTTCCCAGACCTGCCAAGACATGTGAAACATGTTCCTCAATAACTTCCCCCTGGCCCTTGAATACATAATCTCATTATCTTTTGTGCTATGTGTTAGGTATAACATTGATACCAAATATGGTTTGGGTGAATAAATATATAAAACTTAGATATCATGGTTTAAGTGCTTATCACTTTAAGCACAATGCAGCAGGCAATTAGCCGATTAAGGGTGCGGTTAGAAGTTACAATATAAGGAAGCATTAGAAGCAGGAAAGCTTACTGTGAGTTTACTGTCTGTCTGTAACTGTTGCTGGCTTTAACTGTGTGCTGCTGCGACTAACTGAGATTACTGACTGTGAGTGCCTGTGACTGAACTGTTATTGTTTGCTACTGTTTGCTGAATATCCAGCGTTTGTTTCTCTGGAGAGTGAAACCGGAGAAGGAGAAGATATCTTTATCGGCTGATAAAGATATTGCAAGGACTCTTAACTTGGACTATACTAGTGAGTCTTACTGGATGGAAATACTGTGAATGAATTAATGGACTGAATGACAATGCTTAAACTCTAACTGGATTAAAAACTATTTAAACTACAAACAGTGTTTGTATTCAGTGTGTGTATACTCTGGGGCCCTTCCACTCTCGTTTTGGCTGCCTGGCTTGACTACTGCTGCAATACTCTGCTAGGGGTTAATCCCCAAACCCTAACACTATGGAAGGATTATCTTTTACATAATCAAAAGAAAACAAACTGATGTCAAATATATACACTGCCAAAGTTGGAGAGAGAAGGAAACTAGGCTTCCTGCCTGAAAGGGAAGGCCATCCAATCTGCTGCATAGAAGATACAGGAGAAAGTGCAAGTATGGATTTTTAACATGACAATCTGACTTTGTTTTTGATATATAACAGTCATTGGATTTCTTTCATATTATTTTCAACAATGCAAACTCTTATTAGAAGGAAAATGTCTGCTGGGAAGAAATCAATAATTATTGTCTTGTGCAATGAATTTTGTTAATAAAAACTTTACCCTGCAAAAACATACTTTACTATGGAAAACGTCCTCATTGCAGAGGCAATATTTTGGGCACTACTGCATTGTTTTCATACTACATCCACTTCTATCAATAAAGATTGGACTTCCCTATGCAGATATAGCCTGCAGTTGGGCTGATTATTTAGGAACTATCCCAGAACTATCCAATTCTTTTTATGATATTTTTAATGTGCAATTAAAAAGAAGTCTATATCTTCTGTATAACATTTTTGCAAAGCTTTCATCGTTACATGACTAATGAAAAGTCACCAACTTTTAAACTGGATCCATGAACAGTACATTTGGTTGCCTCTTGAAATGAGCAAATAGTGATCTAATTCTGTACTTTGAAAACTTTATATGCTGATTTGTGTAATCAAGTGTCTATAAAGTGTCAGTAGTAAGAGAAACAAACTTTCCCTGTTCAACTGAATTGAACTTACTTGTAGTGTTATCAATATAGATAAGTACATTTAAGGACAGAGACTGCAATGAGATTTATTTCACTGCGAGGGAGAGGCAGATAACTTTCACCAAGGCTCATATGCCTCTTTTATGCCTTTTTAGGATTTGCTGCCTTTGTTCTTTTCCCCATATTTCTGCTCCAAAGCTTTCTGCAGGTTAAGATTTAGAGCATTTTTCTGGAACCATCTCCCTGATGATACAAAACAAAATAACAACAGCAACAATCAATATTGTCATCAAAAGTTATTGGAAAGCTACAAATTCAAGACTTTTCTATATAATTTTTGATGCTAAAAAAAAACCCCTATGCTAATTCAGAATCATTGCTGGACTGGACTGGGTTTTTTTTTTTATTGAGCTCTACATCCTTAACTTCCTGAAATTATGTAAGGATCGCTGAAAGGGAATACTGTACAGAAAATCATGTAAACTATTTTAAATCTGTTCCTGAGCACATAATTTGAGGTTTGTAAACGGAGAAATGGATGAAATCTAAATATTTAGATTATAATAATACTGGAGATGTACCGTATTTGCCGGCGTATAAGACGACCCGGCGTATAAGACGACCCCCCACCACCACCGGAAACGCCCTCCAGAAATCCCCGGGGCTGCAGCGGCAGGGCAGAGTGCCAGGGGCCGTGGGAAGAGCAGTAAGGCTGCAGCCTCGGGCGGAGCGAGGCGAGCGGGATGAAGCGGAAGCGACGCAGGGGATCCAGGAAGCCAGAGGCGCCTTCGCTGCGTCCAACAAGCCTCCGAAAGCCGGCAGTGGATATACCGGCGTATAAGACGACCCCCCCACTTGGAGGCATGTTTTTCGGGGCAAAAAAGTCGTCTTATACGCCGGCAAATACGGTATATATAATCTACTCATAACATTGACAGGAAGAGAAGCCAGGCATGTCACTTTCTAGTTTTCCTTTCTAGTTCCTAGATTTCCTTACCTAGATCATCAGTCTTCCTTCCATGCCAACGTTTGGGATCCCGAACTGCCCTCTTTATCACATCAGGAGTATAAGAATCCTTCATCAAGCTTTTAGTTTCTAATGGTCCTCCTAAAGAAAGAATATCTGGACATTGTTCACTGAATTACTGGCATCGATAGAGATTGAGGACAAACAGGAAGAAGTTAGTGATACTGTATCGAATTTTAAACAGTGACAGGTTTTTATACCTGATACTGATTATAATTTGGGGTTGGTTTCAGATCTTTTGTTGGGAGAAATACTGTACTTTTTGGTATGACCATTTGCATATTAAGCAAAAAAAAACAAAAACCACCATACACACACAAAAGGCAACTTTAGTGTTTTGAATAACAATGATCAATGCCCCTTGCCACTGAGTTGTGACTGGCACAAGCAGAAGACTGCGAGACACCATGTTTCTCACTCCCAGGCTACATTGAAGATGACAGTTTTATTCCACAAGCAGAAAAATTAAAAGCAAAACAACTCTTAATTTGTGAAAATGATTCCTCTAAAGGGAGAAGAAGGGGTCTCTTAAAGTACTAGCACCAAATCATGCTATTATTACAGGTAGTCCTCAACCTGCAACCATTCATTTAATGACTGTTCAAAGTTACAACAGAAAAGTGCCTTATGAACTGTACTCACAGTTATGACTGTTGCACCACCCCCATAGTCAGGTGACTGCAATTTGGGTGCTGGGCAACCAACTTGCATTTACAACTGGTTGCAATGTGTCCTGTAGTCACATAATCATGAACTGCAACCTTTTTGCCAATTTCCAGCAAAGACACCCATTGGGAAAGTTGGATTTGCTTTGCAACCATCTGATTTGCTTAATAACCATGTGGTTTTCTTTACAGCTACCATAAAAATTGTCCTAAAATTGGTTCTGACTCAACTTATGACCGAAATGACTTACAATGGAAATTCTGGTCTCAGTTGTGTTCATAAGTCAAGGACTACCTGTATGACCAAAACAGGAAGCATGGATATTTGTCTAGCTCACCTTGGAAAATGTTGGCTCTCAGATTATAACCCAGTTCATAATAATCAGCATAAGGTGAAGCTGTCATAGGATTCTCAAGAGATTTGAATGGCCAGTCACTGAGTCTTTTTTGTCCTTGGATAAGTCCAGCTTCACAAAGAGCACGCCGTGCCTGGAAAATATATATATATATATATATATACGTGTGGGTGGGTATGTGATATGATAAAATTTAAACTCCACAGTTGCTTGCCATTATCAAATATGTTTTAGTATACTTAGAGAACTAGTGATAATTTCTACTCCCCGGATGGTTAAACTGATCAAATTTGGCCAAAAGTAGGCTTTTCTTGGATTTATGTCAAAAAGAAAAAGAAAAGAAAAAAAAGAAAAACAAACAAACCCTAACTGGACTGCAGCCAATTTTAATGGAGTTTTTCCTTTCAAAATCAAGATGTATAAAATTCAACTTTTATAAATCAAAACTGTACATTAGCCACTTTACTTGATATAAGCGAAATACTTGGAAGACTGCTTATTAGTACAAAATGCCTTCATGTTGGTGGCTAAGAAATGTTTCAGTCCTTTTACACTATATTGTGATCTCTTTTTAAAAACAATCAATAGATTTCAGAGTTCAAGGCACAGTATTGCTTTTTATTTTAAAGCACTACATGACTTGGCTCTAATAGGACGGATCTTCTCCAGAGCCAACTGGAGATCTTATCTTCAGTGTGAAAATTTAGATTGCTGGATGCTTAGGGCTGGTACTTCTCTGTCATGACCCTTTTGCTATAGAATGGTCACCCCATGGAAACTAGACTGCTGCATAATTAGAACATTGTTCCATAAAACTATTAAAGCTGAACTCTTAAAGCTCAATTTGAAAAATTTGAACTACTCTGGAAACACCACTTCATATGGATTGGATAATATGATTGCTGTGATCAGAAATGGATATGGTTTTTTTGAACCATTTTGCCTAGTTGGATGTATTTATGTATTCTTTCTATTTCATTATGTATTTTTGTGCTTTTATTGTTGTAAAGGACTGTGAATTGTAAAATTCGGTGACATAGCTTTAATAAATATAAATCAATACTGTAAATATATGTGACATTGGCCTTGTGATCTTTTCAGTTATATAGCTGAACATTTTTTAAACATTTCTTATACAAATATACATTTTTTAAATTATATTGCTCGTGATGTAAATAAGGTCCTGCTTTCCAATTCCCTGGTTAATTATTCAGCTAATATTTAGCATTACACGAGAGTTACATAAATTCCTTACAATATAATATCTGTCACCTCAAAAGACAGATGTATAAATTCAAGAGGTACTCTTCAGATAAGCATCATGGAAGTAACCATAATTTTCCAGGTGAAAATAAAAAAAGCCTAGCACCATTTTTCTCAGCTTGATACCATTACCTATGCCGGTTGGAAGGGATGTACAGTATGGGTGTGATGACCCGGGGTGTGGCACAAAGGCAACACAGTCAGATAAGCAATAAGAGTCCCTTTATTATCTCCAACTTTGCCCCCAATGTCCAGGTTACCTTCTGGCTGGAGAAAAACTCTCCCAGGAACAGCCTTTGACTGCAGAAAATTAAGTCCAAA